TGGGTGGAGAGCGGCTGGCTGCCTTGTTCGGGTGGGAGCGCCGGCCGGCCTGACGGAATGCACCCCGGCCGCGGCGGCGCGCCCGGCCGCTCTCACCGCTCTCGGCGGCGCCGGTGAGTCCGGTCAGGTGACGGGGTGTGAGCGCTCGTGCAGGGTGGCGCTCAGCTGTCTTACACCATTCCGGACAGGCTGCGCGCTGGCTCGACCTGCGCCCACCCGCGTAGAGGTTCTGGAGAACGATTGGAGAAGCATGAGCTAGTACTTCTCCGGCAGTCTGGTGAGAACGGTTCTCACTAACGACTCGTCGGCCGGGAGCCGAGCCTGTCGGACGGCGTTCGGACGGTCAACGTGATGAGACGCTTCTGACCGACCAGCGGAGGCGCCGACGTCAGCAGTGTGCCAGCAGCCTGGTGGCGACGGTGAGCGGCAGCTGGCTGGCGGCTCCTGCTGACCGGAAGCCGCGGCCAGACGCTGGCGATCATGTCGGCAGCGTCCGCGTGACTGGGATACACCGGCGCGGCCTGACGCGAGAGGCCAAGCTGGTCCATCCAGCTGCGATTGTTTGGCCTGTCGGCCGCGCTGCTGGCACTAATGCAGGTTCCAGGTTTGATATCCGTGCCTACAAGCGCACCCACTTTCGAATGGAAAACACGTTCGCTACCTCCCGAGGCCTGACTGAAGCATAATGTAAGCTTTCCTGCACCTGCTCGTTTACCTTCCTGCATTTGTTGTCCTGGCGGTCCACTGGTACTTTATTTTCAAGCATAGAGAACAGCTCGACTTCGACATCCAAACACAGCGTGGGAAAAAATAACGATACGTGGAATAGCTGACGCTGGCGGAGGAGTGAGAGGGGAGTGGGATAAGAACAATCTGACTAAGCGATGTATCTTTCCATTTTCTTTTTTTGGAAGCGACCAAGTCCCCGCATCCATGATTTCTAGCGGCAGTTCTCGTGATTTTAGCATACACCACATGAGTGATATGTTGTAAGTCGGCTTTATCCAAAATATGCGCCTCATCCCCCGCCGATCTGATACATACGTTTCACCTCTGAAGAAGTAACTGTTGCACAAATTGAATTCCAGTATTTTTGCGCATGCAGCAAACTGTGACAGTTTTGTAAATATGTGACGGCACCCAGATCGGCAAAAGGCTGTGATCGTTCCAATGATGACGGAAACGAAATTAAGTCCACTGAACGTTGCTGAAGTTGACGTGCGCACCATCCGGCCCTGCCGCAGCGCAGCGGCACCGAAGGTCACTCACGTGTCTCGGCACATCCAACTCCGATCATGGACAGATCCGCATGTCTCCAGGATGTACAGCTTGTGCTAAATGGGCGCTTTAAGATTTCAGAAGCACACAGATTCCAATGTGGGAAGTTGGGTAAAAGTGATGCTTTTGGCAAGGACGGAGCCTGTCACGCGCACGAATATGGGGCTATCCTACATTTCACATACAAAACTTTAACGGAAGTAAATACACCCGGCAGCTACATTTTGTAGTGACCCAATATGCAGGGACATGAAGAGCCGTGGGTGTTTGGATGTTGGCATGGCTGGATCGGCTGGAGTTGCTGATCAGCTACGTGGAGCAATTGCAACTGCCCAATTTTGTGCTAACGAGGCCCCTTTTCTGGCTCGGGAGGGCCCGTTACGAGCTAGGAGATCCTTGCTTTGGGTAAGGAGGCACCCCCTATATTCAGGGGGTGCTTTTCTGGAACAAGAGACCCTGTTTTAGAAAAGGAAGGGCCGATCAGAACGCCCTTATTCTGAATTTGTTTAATTGTCGACATGTATTTACATGGATATCATTCATGTAACAATTTGATAGGGGACATTTGCCCCCAGTGACTCCCACGCTCTTGAAAACGCTTCTGCCCAAGAGGCCCCACTGTGAGGAGGCCCGATTTTGTCCAGGAGGCCTCTGACAATGCGGCTCCCAAAACCCAAATCCGTGGCAGCGCCCCTGCTGAAAGGCACAGTGCAGGGCACAACGCGAAGTAGCCACAAATGCCAAGCTCTTCACAAATTGGAGCAATCTTCAGTTTATAAGTTAGACTGAGTGGAATGGGCGCTATTAAATTAAGATTTCAGATATTAAGTGAATCATCTAAGACTACAACCATTACAAATCACAGATTTTCGACGGCGCCAGTTAGTCATTCACTGTTTCAGGGCTAAGGATTAGTTTCTCTACACGCAATCATTCAATCAGACAGCAAATACAATATTATATACGATCGATACGCAATATATGCGCAATGTCACGTGCATAAGACAGCTCATTTGCGCCGGGGCGCGCAGGAGAGACAACAGATCGTGCTCGTCACGCCGCGAGTCGAAGGGGGGCGGGGCACTTTAATGTTAAGCCTAACCCTGACTTAAGTCTTAACCGCTTCGTCATCGTAATGTTTTATTACATGATGCTCGTGCTATGTTAGCGTAAATTTCTGTGCCAAATTGCCCGGTGATCAAAGTTGTTTTGAACTATTTTACATTTCATAGGTGCGAGCTCGTAATACATACGATATGATTCTAAGTAAGCCAACAACACGCCGACGTAAAAGTCGACGGGATTTGATTTTTACCTCAATATGAATGACTTGTCAACATCATCGCCGAGTTTGATATGGAAATCGCCTAGCTCAGACGAAGTTCAATGGGCTGAAGAGTTTGGTGTAATTTAAAAACACTGAAATGTGTTCATGCCTGTAACGTTGTTGTTAAAGTTAAACTGATACTAGATTTAATGAAAAAGCTATATAAACTTACACTTAAGAAGCCCAAAGTGCCGATGGGCAAAATTATTACGTTATGGTCCTCAATTCATGTTTGAGCTGTCATATGATGCCAAATTCTGGGAAAATATAACAAGGAGATGTCCCCGGCGTGCACTTACAGAGCAGATGTTTAAACAACACTAAGGCCTAACTGAATATAATACACGCATAAAGTTAGATCGAAAGACACCAATAATTGTTCACACTTAAAAGCAGGATTGAAAGTGTGTGCAAGATATTTATCAATATCCAACCATTTAACGGTGCCCTACTATTTCAAGCAAGTGTTCAGTTCTGTTCGTCACATAAGAGGCCTAGCATAAGGACCCAAATCCACCGTAAAGGCGCCAAAACTGTGAAGAACGACAAAACCCCAATACTGTTTTCAGCCCGGTCTTCCCAACTTGATGCGTGTGGAGCTCCGTCTCTGCTTAGAAGCAAGCACGTCGTTTTATGAAGCCAGTTGACGGGGAGGCCGCCGTCCTGGCCTGATCAGCCTAGTACACGTCAAATTAAATCTCCCGGATTTGGACAGCCGCAGTTTGCTGCTTGGAGAAGACAGAAGCATTGTTTTATAGGGTACTTACTTTGCATTGATTTAACCATTCGTGGGTAAAGGGCCTAAGAGATGGCGTCGCTCTGTCAAGATGAGGATGCTAGGCTTCAAGTGTGAAAGAATGCATTGAGCTTCTCCAGTCAAATATGGCTAGACGCCATAACTAACAGGTAGGTACCAGAAGCGTGCTGCATACTGGGTGATAAAACAGGGTAAGATTTGTGCTTCGCTCAGGGTCTGTTCCCGTCGCACCTCCAAAAACAGATGAGATGAGTTGGGAGGAGGTTGGAGGAGCACGAACATTTACTGCCACGGGAACGCTTTTGGACGAGGTATCAGCTGTGTGCACGCAGTTTAACCAAGCAGTTTTGGCGGACTGAAGGAGAACAACGTTGAACGTTGTGGTTACTTAAAAAATTAAATTCAAAATTGTTTCACAATAATAATAATATTATAAACATGAAGCTGTAAGAAATGAATTAAAATATATTCTATATGCACCAACTTACACACCAGTCGTTTATTTTCTTCATGAGACAACAAATGGCGGCAAAAAGCATATGAGTGAACTGCACCGCTAATGTCTATCACAGCTTCCTCCAAACTCAGAAAGCTCAGAAGAAACACCTTTCATTTCGGAAGAGGTTGGGGGAGGTAAGCGGCGAGCTTTGAGGCGCTTGGAGGTTGTTGGAGGAGCCACGGGAACGATCTGATTAGTTTGGAGGAGCTGTGAGGAGGTTAGGGGAGCGACGGAGATAAGGTACCAATATCTTTCATCTTGCGATATCACGTTCCTTTCAGTTGCAAGCTCTTTGCCTTCAGTCATGTCAATATCGCAGTTTCAGTCTATCCATATCTGAGTACGGACTATCGCACAGCGTATGTGGCCATGTATCCTCAGTTCACCTTCATGTCCACTCCATTCAAGCCGCAACAAATAGAGGCTGGTGCACCCGGCTTCATTAAATCACGCCTCACAATGCCGGTAATTACACCGTAATTGTGCGCTCTTCACATCAGGCTGTGGAGAGCTTTCGTTTCCAGTTTGCCACACTCAGCCAACAAAGACTGGCTAATGCAGTGCAGCAAGACGTCCGTTTGATGCGATTCACCTCGCGAAAAACCTGACTGATTTCTCGCGATAATCTGTGGCCTCATCTCGACACGGAGCCTCCCACCGCAAGAAGCTAAAAATTCAAATTGCACATAACCGTGAAGTTTAACATGTCACTCGCCGTTCAGACCGATTAACTACCTACAAGAATAGAGAGGCTGCAAAAACGGAGCGCGGGGGCTGCCAGGACTCTCGGCGGTAACGTGATCATCCATTAGAGGCGCGATTCGAATCGTGCGAGCGGCCGCCAGCTAATGGTAATCGGGGCCCGGCAGACACAGTCTGCATGTTTTCAAACGATTAGTCACGCTCGTCCGGCTCGTCCCGTCTAAAATCTTGTATATTCAATTGCTATCTGCTGAATCGGCGCGGGTCGGTCCACCAGCGAGACTGAGAGGCCGCTCCTGCCGGCGGGCGCAGGCCCCGCCCCCGGCGGCGAGCGCGGCCGCCGATTGGTCGCCGCCGCCGCCGGCCCCGCCCCGCTACCATGGTGACGACGAGCGGCCGGCCGGAATGTTCACACCTCCTAGTCGCGGTCAGTCGCCGGGGGAGGGCGCGTCGGGCAGCGGCGATCGATACTGCGCGCAGTCGTGAGCGCGTGACGGCAGCACCGACAGCGGCACGCAGCGTCCGGCGCGCGCCGTGACATGTCCCCGGCCAGCATGCCCAGCTCTCCGGAACTGGCGCGGCCCCGTGCCACAGACTTCTCGATCGCGGCGATCATGGCGCGCAGCAGTAGCCGCCCAGAGGTGCGCTCGACGACGCCGCCGCTGCTCTCGCCAGGTCAGTGTCACCGCCCCGCCCCTCCCCTCCTGGCCGCTGCCCCCGGGACCGAGTGCCCCGGCTGGGTTCAGTGTGCCGGGGCCTGAGCGTTTGCCCTATCGTGCCAGGGCCCCGGCTCTTACTCTGCGCTGGCTGCGGCGCGCTTGGAGTCGGTTCAGACGGGGGCTGTGGAGCTGGACCTGGACTGATGCCCACATCTTGCGACGGTTTTCCCTGTTGTGCGAGGTGGTGCAGTTGCAGACTGCTATCCCAGTTTACCTGGTGAACACCCTGTGAATCTTGTGTGAGCCTGCGGCGCTTCTGGGGCGAAAACGTGACCTGAGCCCAGCCTGTCAGTTTTCGTGATAAGGCCAACCCTTGATCACACTTCCGGTCTGCTGAACACCACTAAAGACCACCCCTTTCCGCGAGCTCAGGATACAGAGCACGTTCACTCGCTGGCCGGGCAAGGATGAAAGAAACTATCTCGTGCCCTTTCTGGGGCTAGTAATCCTAAATTGGAGTTGGCACCCTCTCGCCGTACAGTGTCAACGCCGAGCGGAGGGCGTCTGTTGTCCCTGACGATTCTCGCTGTCCGCTAATGTAATCCTCCCTGAGCACCGCCTTAGTATTCTCCTCGGCGACTGCTACCCCGCCTGGAGCACGTCAGCCGTTCGGGTTCATAAGATTTACAAATGCAAACGCCGTGGGGGAGAGGGGCAGGCCAGCGGTCAACACAACCCTTTCCCACAAGGCTCTTTTTGGAATGTGGCCGAATGCCGCGCTGTTTGTTCAGGTTTTCTCTGTCGTTCGTGACGAGTGGCACCTTTCTGCCGTGTTGTGCGTATGGTGTCAAAGAAACTGATGCACAGTGCCGACTGACCCGCGTGAAGCGCGGTCACAGCTGGTGCGGCTCCATCAGCGATAGGTGCTGGAAATGCATGCGATTCGCGACCTCACGCCTGTAGGCCGGTATTGCCGACTTCGTGTCACACCGCCGTGGCCTCGCTCCCAATGTGTGAGACCACCCGCGTGTGCCGCGTGTCCGATTCATCCGGGCTATGGGTTAGGTTGGAACCATCCTCTGGGTACGACACGGTGTTGTCCGTGCGCTCGCTGTGGGGCCATTAGTACCAGGAGCGGAGGTTATCCTGGTAGGCGTTGCTTGTCCAATTCCGCAAAATTGCAGACATTTTCTGAAACATAAAGCTGCCTGCCCCTAAAAACGATTTGGCTCTGTCGCCTGCTCAGACATTTATATGGTCATGAGTTGGGTTTTCATTATCTCCCAACGTTCTGACTAACCCCGACCGTAAATGTCGGTGCGAATATTATTGTTGGAGTTTTAGGGCGCACAAGCGCCAAGGGTTACGAGCGGCCTATTACTTGTCACATAGGTAACATAAGGTCATTGGCGGGTATTTCAGGAGTGACGCTAAGTATTCCTGCTGTTGCATCAGTCATGCTCCATGTCCAAACTGTGATGCCAATGACAACAGTGTTTTCTGAAGATCCTTTGGCGATGTCTATGATTAACCTTGTTGAGATTAACAGAAGCGATGTGCTGAACTGAGACCATTATCTGTTCTTTCAACTAAAATATTTGCCAGCGGCTAGGGTATTTGCATTGCTTTTCCTGGTATGCTTATTACCATCTTGTTCTCTGTATCGCCTTGGAAGATTTGAAACCTTAAACACCGTCTCGAACTTACTTCAGGACATTCGCTTCATCGTCTCACGAATTTTTTTGATTTCACTAGCATTAGCTCTTCGCGCAAAACTGTCGTGGTTCTCAGCTAGACCGCCGTTTTATGAACATAAGTGAGGTTTTATAAACAAAACCTTAAAGCCTACCTAAATTCAATGAATTTGCAATCAAGTTAATGCATTCAACTGGTACAACACTTTCAATGGGTATTATAGAACCATTGAGGCTCTGATTTCACTTAAAGGCAACCCTCTTGGATAGGGTGACGCGATACACGACAAGCCAGCACTGGGGCATTTCATCCAGCTCGTGATCGCTTCGGATGAAACTATGAAGCCCGGACGTCCGCCGCAGGCGCGGGGGAGGCTGCGTGCCGCCGGCCATGACGCGCTGCCGGACGCTTAACCCAGGCTGCCACCCATGTGCACCGAGCTGTGGGCGAGCTGGCAGCACCGGGTAGCTATATTCGATGAGATAACATTGCGCAGTGGCGATGTACACAATGAAATCGATCAAAATACCCCAACACTGGGCGAGGTCCAACGACTGGGCAGCTGTTCGTGCCGGGGACGCGGCGGTGTTCGCTGCTCTCCCTCCAGTCGGCGGCCACGACGCTCCGCATTTGCCTCGCTCACCGCCGTCACCCCCACGACACAGGCCTGCCGCCCTTGCCGGGCGCCGTCACACCCGGCACAAGCCGCCGTCACCCCCGGCGCAAGCCTCCGCCCCTGCCCACCGCCGTCATCTCCCCGGCGCAAGCCTGCCGCCCCTGCCGAGCACAGTCACCTCACCGGCACAGGCCTGCCGCGCCTGCCAACATCGGGCGCAGATTTTGAGAAAGCAAAAGAATGGCTTGCGCCAATTTTTTAGCTGCACGGTGTCCGCTGTCAAAATGTCAGAAACGGGGCTAATTATGCTTTATGTTTAATGCGTAAGTCAAAGATGAATGGGAGCAGTCTTTGAGACTTCGTAGTTTGTGATCCTTGCACTCAGAACATCCCACAAAGAGGGGGCGGGCTTCGTGTGATGTAGGGCTTCATGGAGCTGACCACTGACCGCGGTCGGACCGTGCCGTGACACAGGCGCCGGTCAGTCCCGGACCCGAACACCGACGTCAGTCCGACCCGGAGCCGACCACTGACCGCGGCCGAGCTGTGCCGTGACACAGGCGCCGGTCAGTCCCGGGCCCGGACACCGACGTCAGTCCGACCCGGAGCCGGCCACTGACCGAGACTGGGCCGTGCCGTGACACAGGCGCCGGTCAGCCCCGGGCCCGGATATCGACGTCAGTCCGACCCGGGGCCGACCACTGACCGAGACCGGGCCGTGCCGTGACACAGGCGCCGGTCAGTCCCGGGCCCGGATATCGACGTCAGTCCGACCCGGAGCCGACCACTGACCGCGGACGAGCCGTGTCGTGACACAGACGCCGGTCAGTCCCGGGTCCGGAAACCGACGTCAGTCAGACCCGGAGCCGGCCGCTGACGACGCCTCCGGCGCCGCCGCCGGCATTTCCGGCCGGCCGGCGCCTCTGTCAGCTGAGCTGGGGCCGGGCGCCGCTGCCGCGGCCGGCGGCGGCGCCCTGGTCCACTGGACAGCTGGCGGTGGTGCTGATGTCGGGATATTGAGGTGGCAATCCGATCACCGTGCTGCCGGTGCTGGTGGTTGGGTTAATCATGGTCGCGGCATGAGCATCGCGCTGCGCAAGCCTCGAGAGTCTCGGGTAGTGCAACAGGACCCCCTGTATTTCTCGTGATGCATCGCACGGGGCTGAGGCGTGATGTTCTGAAGCACACAGTAGCGGAGACGGACGTCTACCCCTCTCTTCTTCGGTGTATCAGCGGGCAGTGCGCCTCGGGTCCGGCTGTGTGGGTCTCGCTCTCTGGACGGGCTTCCCGGCGGTGGTCGGGCGGCGGGCGCTGCGCGGGCGCGGGTGCGGGCGCTGCGCCGGAGCGGACGCGCCAGAGGGCGACAGGGTGGGCACGTGGAAAGTGCGCCGCCGCGCCACAGCGCCCTGAGTCGGCGGCTCTCTCTCCGCCTCTGGAAGGAGCCATCGTGTGTTCGGTGTCGCGAGCCGTGTTCTCCTCCCACTGGTGTCGCTCAGGCGCACCAGAACGCTCTCGTCTCCGCTCCTGAACCGGTACACAGAGATACACGTTGACACACGACCTCTCTTTCGCAAAGCACAATTTTACCGACGGGGTTGGGCGTGGGGTGGGGGGCGTAGTTGGGGTCGCTTTTTGAAAGACTTCACTTGATCAGCTAAATCTGGTTCGCGATTTCGCTCATTCACATCTTCGCATCACATCTTCCCCTGAAGACCTTCAGCCAGGAAATCGCTACGGACAATCCTTCAGCCAGGAAATCGCTACGGACAGGGCCGGTGCTCCTCTTATTTATGACGCATTCCTTCTGGTCAATTCTGCCGAATGTTGAGAGCTTTAATCTTCGTTTGCCTCGCACAGCTAAACGTGGTTCACTTAACCCACAACCTCATACATGTGCTTATGCATATCTGGATACATAACCCACATTATGCAACATTGCTGAAGTATATATATATATATATATATATATATATATATATATATATATATATATATAGTCCTTCCTTGTGTGAGTGGTCCTTCAGCTGGTACATTTGACGTGGCAGAACGCGCGGTCTCTGCCTCCACCGAGCCGTCGCATGTCAGCTGCTCCAATATTGACATTGTTGAGCCTGCATAAACACCTGGCAAGGTCAGCTGAGCAGGCTCTATCAGCACAGGGAGCGAAAGAATACAGGCGATCGTCCCGCGAGCTTAGCGTAACCACAATACTTCCACGCTGGAAATGCTTCCACGCTGAACAGTGCGCAGCTGTCTGAAGACACTCAGTCGAGGCACATCCAGCGACCAAAGGCTCAGACTGCAATATCTACAAGCTCATTAAATGCTTGGGCCTGGCGGTGGATGATGCTCGTTTGATCGGCGATTATCCCGGGCTGTGGGAAGCTTACGTGAAATTGAGATGTAAAATAAGCATGCAAACATCCCAGAAAGCTTCTGTTTTCGGGTTATGTGTGATCACGTGTCACTCACCCGCCGCACGCTCCATACGTGTCCTCGCATTCCCCCAAATGGATCATCAAGACTAAACACCTGATGTCCTCTACCACAGTCTTCCAAGAAGTGATGGTATGTTTTGCTTGTCTAGTAAGCACGTAACATCAAAGCTTTTCTTAAAGGCATTAAAAATCATCAGGCTTTAACGACAAAGCACTTGCGGTTGTTTACTGGTGCCGATGTAAGGAGAAGCCCGAGGAAACCAAGCG